AGGATGCCAACCCAAAAAATGCCAACAATGATAATATGTGTGGCCACTCCTAACAACAGATATTATGACCATGATCACGTCTTCGTCTTTGTCTTTGGACAAGAGCAACAACATCAATCTCCATTAGAATAAGACCATCTCCCACATGAAGGGGAGTTGAAAGACATACAACAAGAAGTGGAAGAGGCAATGTCTCATAATATTGTGTCAGTCAAAAAACATTGTAAAGGATGATTGGAGCAAATGCATATACAAATCCCATAAGATCTTGATGAAAGTGTTGGCCTTAATATTTCAATTTGATCCGCTCCAACATATTTGGCTCCTGCATGAAGCAAGAGGCTTTAAAAATAAATGCCCAAATTGCATTATTGGATAGCTTCAAGTGGCCTAAAAATCACTCACCATAATCATCAATATGTCCAAATACATACTTGAAGATATCCAAAAGAATGCTCTAATCTGCATGAGTGGTTGCGCTCAAATTATTGTACTATGGCAATGTTGTCCTTTGTAAACGCTAAACATCATCTCAAGAATAATAGGTAGCAATCATAATAAAGTGATTAAACTAATGGTACACATCATCTCTAGGATTCCCATAGAATAACTTCAGCCATATGTGAAGATTGACAGTAAGAGCAAGAAGTGCTGTAACATATACTATAAATGCTGCCATCAACTAAGCCTGATTATTCAATTGCAACCACATAGTTATAAGCAACTAAAAGAATGATAGAGAATGTCAGTATATCAAAGAGGTTTCAAGTCCGACTTTATTAGTTAATTAGGGGAATCACACCATATATTGAGATTTTGGGCTCAACTTGAAAGGTTAAATGACTAAAAAGAACAACTCAAAAAATGATTCATAAAAGTTTAAATATAAAGGGAAAAGATCCATAACAAAAATGTACCCCATTTTAAATTGGTTAAGAGTTTTATGATATTTAGGATTAAGTGTTTTTGGGTTTAAATAATATTAGACTGAATGACTTCCCAAGAAATTCAAATTCAAAAGTTTAAAATTGCATTGAATAACTACACTAATTGCTCCTCCAAAATCAAAGGAGGAGGAAGTTACTCTCACAAAAACATGCATTTTAATTATCCCAAAACCCCTAGTTTATATAGTTTGGATTGAAACCAATCCAACGCCTCTATCCCCAAGAGTATGATCCTTAAAAGTAGCTCCCCCTATTCACCTTTGTCTACAATGCCCCTGGACAATAATGTTTGGAGAGGCTTAAATAGAAGTCTGTAGCCATCTGGTGTCTCCTTAACTGTTAGATACACACTAATGCAGCTTCAGAAAGAACCTATGTAGTAAATAACCTAGATTGGCAATTTAATGTAATTAGCATATGACCCATAATTAGATCTTTCATGAGTTTGGATCAAAAGTCTATAGAAATCCCATATCTGATTGCCAACATGGTACTGCACACATGCTCACTGTACTAGGTGATATAACCAAGGTAAGCTTATACTGCACAATCCCAAATACCGTTCAAAACGCCTCTGCCTTACATGCATCTGTAGCACGCTCAAGCAATCAGTGAGGATCCTGGCAGGATTCAAATGCATAAATAGCAGGATCCTGAGCAAGGTTGCTCAAGTAGAGAGACCACCAAAGCAGTCGGCCATACTTGAGCATCCACTCATTACTAACCACCTCCTCAAAACAATTCCCCTGTGTAGATGTAGCCAGCAGAGTGTGCTGTTTTCCCCGATATCTCCCTTAAAGAAGGCAATTAAAGGAGACGGAAGAAAAAACCCAAGGACCAGATTCCGACTCTGCAAAGAAGGATCGCACCACTCAGGTTCTAAGAAATTGGTGACCCTGGATGTAGTGTCTATGAACAGAGTTAAACATGTTCCACCTAACGCTCGTGTAGATCTTCGAAGTGGCGTCCATCTATGGAAAGGTAACAGCAACCGGGCTTCATTGAAGACAAACAGCAGCTTCAACAGTTGGCCTGTCATCTCCATACCAATTCCCAAAGCCAGGGACCTCAAGAATATAACTCTGGAAGACTTCAATGGCTTTAGTCTCCCATGTCGTCCATAGTTCAACTGAGTACTAGCCTGTATCTTCTTGAGAAACTTAAGTTTCCATTCAAGTTTTTTAATCCGATTCTCCACCCCCGGCCAAAATCCCTTTCCACCATCTACCGTCATCATGTTTGAAAACACTTGCAGCCCCCACGGCTCCTCTTTCCCTAGTCCTCCACCCAGCTCCTCAATGCATGCGATCCAATAAGCCAGACAGTAGGTCATGCATGCGAGATGGCCTGCGTAATCTCCATTTCCCAGTGCCTGCCTTGCACGGCCGAGGAAAGCATTTCTAAAATATGAGGGCTGAGGATAACAGGAGCCAGAACCCAGCGACAAGTAAATGACCCAAACCTGTTTCCGATGTAACTCTCGAACCACCCTCGACTTACCCCAGCCGCTGGACTGGAAGAGACCAACGATACGTGAAAAATCAGTCTCCTTCTTGATCTTGTTCAGGGCATCGTAAAACGAGTCTACTCCACTGCCCTGATATTCCATGTCAAGTGCTCGACCTGTAGCAGCAGCAAACATAAACATTCATGCAAACTGACGCACTTACTTGCCAATCGTTAACTCTATGCCATGTTGTGGACTTGTCCTTGTACTGCTACTGCTCCTCCGGTGTCAGCTTGTACCAGCAAGCTCTATAGATTTCATCAAGCCATTCCTCGCCGTTCAGCTTCTTGTGGATACACTCCCAAGATTTGAAAAGAAGCGCTGGGTACTTCTCCAACACCATTCTCATTTTTGATTCCCGCGCCTCGTTGTCTATTTGTTGCAGCGCCATTTCAAGTACATACTGTGGGCCGATGCCTTAGTGTTTCTCTTGGTGCTCTGGCGACAACTTGTCCCAACTCTCAAGCAGCAGATCCAAATACATCAGCTTCCTGTCAGAAATGAAACCTTTCCGGGCTTTGACGATATCTCATCTCCACCGATCGCATCCGCTCTTGTGCACATAGCAGCAGCCCGTATGCCTCGTCGCTCTCTTCCCGAATCCTCTTTCGGTCCTCGCTGCCTTTTACCTCTGTCGGCCATAGTTGGGGCTAGGGCTTGTAATCGTGGATCCAGCAGCGTCGACTCATGTATTCCAAGTGTGGAAACATGGTGGAGGCTGAGAGAGTTCAGGAGCATGCCTTGCCACAGCCTGGTGTCGTGGATAAGTCGCACAGGATTTGCAGCAGGAAAAGTTTTCAGGGAGGACATTTCATTGATGAAATGCTCGGCTTCTTGCAGTCTCCGACACCGTGCGAGGAGATCGATCATACAGATATAGTGATCTGGAGAGGCTGAAATTATGCCCTGGAAATTCTGGTGGCCGTTCCCGCGTGGCTACATGTTGCCAGAAGGTTGAGAAAAGTGATTTGGTTTGGGAGAATTCCCTCGAGCTTCATCGCCTGGAAGATCTCTAGCGCTGCTTCCTCCTATTCAATGTAGGCAGTGAGCATCGCCGTCCAGGAGATCACGTCGCGCTCGCACATGGAATCAAACACGGCTCTCGCGTCTAGGGAATTGCGATCTTCTTCGACTCCACAGCAACCAAGACTCGTCCGCGCTCCAGGCTGGGGATCGCCGCACAGGCATCGATCGCCAGAGTGAAGGAAACCTCCTCGACCAAGACTCCCTCCAGATCCATGCGCACAAAGATCACGAGGGATTCTGGCGCGCGAATCCACTGACCGCCCCCCAGGAGACGGCATCCTTGCGATCACGAGCAGCCTCTTCAGTCCCACTGCTCTCCACCTTTACAATTGAAATGCTGGCCCACACAGACTGCATTAACGAGATTAGAAAATCTTTTGTATATCAAAGTATGTCTATGTAAGAAAAATTGAAGAACACAGCTTTTAGCTTTTTGTGGTATTTTTGTAAATTTTTGTAACTTCACTTGTAATGTATGCTAAAATACATTTGTATGTTAACCAACATCACATGTAATATATGAGGTATTCCATCAATTCCTCCTTTAACAATGCCAAGCCCAGCAAGAGCATTGACAAGATCCAAGGCAAACATTTTTTCCTGCGCTTCTTTCTTGTCAGCATCATTTTCCTCATTATATTTGTCATATATCGCATTTGTAAAAGTCGTTATAGTAAAATAACATAATTTTAGAAAAGAGAAGGTTCTTATGAATTTTGTTTTTGGTTTACTTAAAGCAAACTTGATATACCTAGAATATATTTGAATATTTTAGAATATTCTACCATTTAAGGGTTGTTATTTATTTTCTATAATTTATAAACATGGTTATAATTTATAAATTTTTCTAAACACTTTTTAGTATATTCTTTTTTATTCTACCATCTAATTGTTGACATGCAATAAGATTAGTCTTGTTTTTATAAATTATATACATGTTTATAATTATAAATTTTCATTTGATCAATAAATAAAAATAACACTACTATTAAGCAAACTAAATATTGCCACAACAATTTTTTTTAAACTACTCAGTTTAGTAGTACTTAATTACTTTTATATTTCAATATTTTAAAGTTTGTCAAAACCTTCATTTCTTTGATTAAGATTTCCTTTATAATACTTATAATTAAGTACTTGACTTGCATTAAATTAACCTAAACTCGTAAAACTTTAAACCACCCCAGGAGCTTGGATAGCCTTGTAGCTCCTTTCGAGAGGTTTCTTTCTTCCTACGATCTGCCACGCAATCCCACCGGGTGAAAGAAATTCACAAGATTATTTTTCCTTGCGAATCTCATGTGGGGACATGGTCTAGATTGGCCTTCAATCACATCTGCCGACCCAATGTCTTCTGCTCTTGGCGATTGCCCAGAATGGAACCTTGGGACGGCGTTCCAGCATGGTTCGAAGCAATGCCCAAGAGAGATGTTACGACACTACGCAGCTGATGGGAACTTGGATCAAGCCCAGGAACTGTTTGATCGAATGCCGAGAAGAATGTAGTGGCATGGACTGTGATGGTTACCGCATTTCACCATAAAGGGGATCTGGATAGTGCGAAAGAGTTGTTTGATAAGATGCCTGAGAGAAATCCGGTTTCTTGGGGTGCTCTGATGGCGGCTTACGCAGTGCACAACCGGCTTGAAGAAGTGAAGCGTTTGTTTGATGCGATGGAGAAATCAAACGTTTACGTCTACACTGTGATGATCACTGCGTATGCCAAAGCAGGGGAAATTGCAAATGCGGAGAGGATGTTTGCTCTCATGCCTGAGAAGGACGTAATCGCTCAAACTACAATGCTGCAAGCGTTTGCTCACAATGGTCTTGTTGAGAAGGCAAGCAAGATCTTTGATGTAATCCTTGACAAGTATGAAATGCCTTGGAACGATATGATCAATTGCATATGCTAAAAAAGGGCAGGCATTTCATGCAAAGCAAGTGTTTGATTCCACGCCCGCAAAGAAACAAAACATCGTGACTTAGAACTCAATGCTCTAGCTGTTTAATCTCCTAGCTCTAGAGCTGCTGAAAACCATGCAGCTCGAAAGGATCAAACCAAACGAGATAACTTTCATCGCAGCACTGGGTGCCTGTGCTGACGCCGGCAAGCTTGAAACTGGACAAGCGTTCCACGCCAAGATCATCGATCAAGGACCAATGCATCCAGGTCTTGCTGGTGAATATGTATGGGAAATGCCGTAGCCTGGTGGATACTGTCAGTCTTCAACCAAACCCAAGTGAGCCTCCGCAACACTATTTGCTGGATTGTGATGATCATGGCTTTTGAAGACAACCACCACTTGCCGGTCGTGCGCTTCATAGGCTGATATCAGAACACCCCAAAAAACCGGATTTCTCTCCTGTCAAACAACTCTATTTTGCGATCATAGTCCCCTTTCTGGGTACCATCACAGTCCATGCCACTTCGATCAAACAGTTCCTGGGTTTGATCCAACTTCCCATCAGCTGCATAGCATCGTATCATCACGACCCCGGAGCAGCCCAGCGAAGAAAGAAACCTCTCAAAAGGAAGCTACCTTTTGTGAAACTTCTATATAAGAGTTCCAAGAATTAGGGTTTGATAGGATTCTTATGGGTCATAGCAAAGAATTAGTTGTAGAACTCCCAAGGGTAATGAAAGTGGAGAAGATTTTATTCTCTTCCAACACCAACAATCTAGAGTGTGAAGTATTTGGGAAAGAGGATCAAGACGGAGAGTGGATGTTTTTGGGTAAAACAGGTCGAGAAGCAAGATTCAAGCTCACCAAGCTGAGATTCATCCTTGTCAAACCTCTCTCTGGATTTGAGGTATCTACGATTGTGAGTTTTTATAGCAAGGACAATGCCCAGAAGCCTGTGGAGGAGTTAGAGTTGAAATACATTAATCCTCAAAAGGTGGACTATCAAAATCCTTTTAAAGTTGGCCAGCTTTCCAAGGACACTCTTGTCACGAAAGCAATTGTTCGATCCAATCTCCGGTATTACAAATTCCGGTTGTGGGGCAACATAGAGTATCCCTGCCAATGGTGGTTTCCAATGGGAGACTACGACCAGGACGAGCCCAACCCTTGTACGCGAGATTTGACCATCAGATACTTTGATGTGAAGAACGAGGGGAAGTTAATGCTAGCACCTCAATGCAAGTTGATTGTTTTTGAGAGGACTTCCACTTGTCACTCAGAGCGTGAGGAATTTGATCTACATAATCTTCCACAAAAGAAGCAGTCAAATAGAAGGGGTTCTGATAAAAAACTATCTAAACTCTCTAATCTGAGCTTAAAAGTTTTAAAGGCCTTAAATGTTGTTAAAAGGAATTAGAATTTATAAACTCAAATCTTAGTAATAAATTCAACTTTAACTTGTTTGTCTAATTCAGAGTAGGAAGTTTTCATGTGACAAATAACACAAGGACAAAACAAATATGTGTCTGCTAGGCTTCAAGCCAGAATGTAGAATTCTCACCACTAAATATTACCCTAATACTGGACTGTATGGTTCCCTATTGCGAATCAAACAAATAATGAAAGACAAGACATAGAGGAAACCACAATTTCCAATTCAGCCCATAAATGCTAGTAGCCCAAAACTCCCTCTTTCTAAACCGGTCTAATCATCATCCATGGGCTCTCTCTCGAAACTTCACGTTGTTCTTATCCCACTTCCAGCACAGGGACATGTCGTTCCACTCGTCTATCTTGCCCGCAAGCTCGCGCTCCTTGGAGTCACTATGACCATCATCAACGTTGATAGCATCCACGAAACCTTGCAGCAATCCTGGACGAGCGAGGCCAATCCTGTGAATAATGGCCAGGACATTCGCCTCGAGTCCATCGAGGATCCACTCGCGGAGCTCTTGTCCCGGATCGATCGAGAAGCAGAGTCGTCTCGGAATTTTACCATCTCAGTGCTCCACATGCTGCAAAAAAAAGGCTGGATTGGCTGGAGCGAGCTTTTGGCCGGGAAGTGCTGCTTGGGATGCCATCGAATTCCACGTTCCAAAGCTCCTGGAGATGGGAGACGTTCCTGTCAAAGGTAAAGCTTCGATGAATCTAGAAGTTTGTTCTAAGAAAACATGGAAGTTTTCAAGAATGTGATAGAGGGAGATGACAAGCTGATCTCTTACATCCCTGGAATGGAGCTAAGATCACAAGACATTCCACTCTTCATGCACGAAGAGAATTCCAGAAGGTCAGGGAAGAGCAGTCATTGCATCTCTCCAAGAGGATCACACGGGATTCTTGGTTTCTGATAAACTCTGTCCATGACATCGAGCTCCGAGTTTTTGAAGCGATGAGGGAAGGATTCGGGGCGAAGTTTGTGCCTGTTGGACCATTGTTTCCTCTCAAGGGAGAAGCGATCAATTCAACTGGATTGAAAGAGGTTAGCCTGAGAACTCCAGATGAATCTTGTCTTCCATGTGGTTCTCTATGTTTCGTTTGGAAGCATCTCCTTCATGACTGCCAAGCAATTTGAGGAGATCACATTGGGATTGGAGGCAAGCAAGGTTCCTTTCCTGTGGGTGATATGATCTTTGGTAATACTCTAATTATAATATTATAGTATATGGATTATCCATTTAAGATTGAATTTGATCTATCCATTATTGTATATAAATATTAGTTATTAGGGGACAATTTATCTTTGGAAGTTTTTTAACAATGTTTTAGTTAGTGTTTAAAATTATCTTTTTGTTTTTATTCTTTCATTCTTTTTTAGATCTAGATTTGTGTTTGTACTGTTCTTCCTTTTTAGCTTTTATTACATACTATGCCATGCTATTGTTGATTAAGGAGTGTGTTATTTAAAGCTATAAATGATATATCATTATTATCATCTAACAACATTGTTTATGTGATTGTATGATGCTTATCACATACTAATTATATATAGCAATCTTTATTGTGATTTTCATATTAGAGACTTTATTTTTGTTTAACTGTAGTGCATATGGTTTTCACCTTGTACCCTATGATGATTTATTATAGGATAACTACAAAGTAGAACTTTAACCCTCCACATCACCTACTATGTGCCACATGCCATGTGTCTAAGGATAGTATAGCTAAACCCAAGTTTCAAGACTTTAGGCCACTGAATGAAGGGGCAAAGCCAAACTCTTAAGCATAAAACAAAGGAGTGAAAGAAGTAGAGCATAGAACTCCTCTTGAGCATACAATCTAATGAATGAAGGGGTAGGAGCATAGTGTGACTTGGAACAATCCTAAAACTTTTAATATCCCTATAACATACCTAAATTTGGGGTTAAATTTCAAATTAATTACACTATGAAACAAAGGTTTAATACACTCTCAATCCTATAAACACGAGCACCCCATATTTAGCATCTACATGCTAAATGGTGCTAAACAGTGTGTAACACAATTTTGGCATACTAGTGACCTAACATAAGAAGGAGAATATGTTATTGACTAGAGCAATATGGAGCTTGAGTTTAGACTTAAGCTGGCCAGGCATAGAACAAGGAGCAACACAATCTAATGGAAGCCAAATTAATACCTTAATGGTTAATTATGCATTCCAACCATTATTTATACTATACATTTGGAACCCTCTATACCCCTAAAGAACACACACTTTAGGCATTTACTATGAATACCATATACTACTAAAATGAAATTAACACATAAGGCGTGATAGTGAAGGTGGGTAAACTATATATTACTAAAATGGAATTAACACATAAGGCATGATAGCGAAGGTGGGTAAACTATCATGTAATGATAGTTTGGACTTCTCAAGAGGTCACCCAGCCTAGTATTATTCAAACCCAAGGATGCTTAACCCCAAATATCTCAAGACTCTTAATCAATTGGAAAAAAAGGTGCACTTTTATTTATGGGCCTTTTCCCTCTATATTTAAACTTTATAGATTGTCTCTCAAGTCGTTCTTTTTAGTTGCTTACAATTCATCATGCTTCCCTACAAATTCACGCTATCATGAATGGAAGCTAAGAGCTATAGCTCTCCCAAGAGCCCCACTCTCTTGACACCTTACCCCTCGGGTCAAGCCTAACAAGAACAAATTAGACTAGCCAAATGTCAATTAACATATGGTGTAATTCCCCTAGCCAACCAATAAAGTCGAACCCAAGACCCCTCTGATACCAAATGTAAATTCTTGAGTTTGGACTTCTTAAGAAATCACCTAACCTAGTATTATTCAAACTCAAGGATGTTTATCCAAAGACCCTTAACTAATTAAAAAAAGGAGTGCATTCTTATTTATAGGCCCTTTCTCTCTATATTTGAACCCTATGGATCGTCTTTCAAATTGTTCTCTTTAGTCACTTACATCAATATCATGGGTTCCTAACATTAGTAAGTGCAAGTCAATGAATGAGTTTCTTTAACAAAGTCAAGTATGTTTGACTAATAACATTTAAGAATTTTGTCCTTATGTTCATCTAGTTAAGTGCACACGTGATGACCAATTTTTCAACTAACTTGGGTGGAAATCATAAAGGGAACTAGCAATACCAACCTCTTGTTGTTGTGGTAATAAGGAGAGAGTGTGCATAACAATTAACTGATAAATATCTTTCAATACCCAAAGTTATATTCGCAATACTCTCCTCCCCTTGGGGAAAATTAATATCCTCGTCAATACATACCTGAGTCTAACAAACTGTCAAGAAAAAAATTCAAAAAGTTAACAGAAAGCACACTATATAAAAAACACACCAATTTAAATGAGTGATGGAACTACTTTTCCTTACATCTAAAGTCATTAAGACTCAAACACCCTCTGGCCATTACCAACAAAGAAATGATTAATAAAGTTAGCCACCCTTGCTACTCTAAGTATCACTCGGTATACAAAAGAATGATGCCCACAGGGATATAATGAGAGAGCCAAAGGCCCAACTCCCCTTAGCAAGAAATTAACCACATTGGAAAGATATAGACAATTATTATAAATTGGTAAATAAAGTTGTTTATATGACTATGTCTCTTTCAAAAAATGAATTAATGAGAGAAAAGTAAGAACTTGTGATCAGTCTATAATAATTATCCCCATGGTTATAGATTATAACCATACATCAAAGTGTTAAAGTCAGCCTGCCAAAACTGTCCCAAAAACTAATGAACAAAAAAAATGTTTAATTGAAATATATTACTTTATTGATTGCAAGATTTATTATAAAGATTTACAAAAGTTATTTTTTATTACAAGTCTCATA